CCTGTATTGATACCAACACAACCCGACAAATAATTGGCCAAGAGCAGTAGACACAGACCCTCCTCTACAACCGAGGTCTTCAAGGGGGTTCATTAAAACTAAAACGGGTTTTCATACCCAGGCGAACTCTCCCCTGCCGAGTTTAAAGCTGAGGCACACGAACTACTGCACGCGATGAGGCTAAGGCTGAGGAAACTCTCGGGGGGAATTCTACGCGATTGGAAATCTTTGTCGTATTCCCCATTTACGAGGGATGCTGCAGGGGACAAATTTAGTCAGGGGTTGTCTCAAAGGTCACCACTACAGTCATTCTTCAAAAAACGACCTTGAATGGCGAACAACACACCCAAGAAAAATAGGTCGGACTCTGTTGAGGTCGTAGCTGGAAAGACTATATGATAACATTTGGAGCTGCACCAAGAATACCGCGGATATATCATCACGTTCCTGTATAACAAGGGCGCCCTCAGCCTGCCGAGTGAGAGTCCCCAATGAAGAATAGGGTGTCGGAAAAGTTCGTCCGTATATTGAGGGCAATTCACAATCACAACTGTATAAACACAGCACTGCAGCGATCTGCCCTCATACTTCGAAATCTCAAGCGAATTTTGACAGACGTTTTCATAAACCTCGTGCTTATTCAATTTTTCCAAGGACGATATTCTACGGAACTTAGGGAACACTAAAGCAACGGACTGTGCGGAATAGCTCCCAGGTAAACCACTCAGATACTTGAAATATGCGGAAGAAAACGTAGTCATTGCCTGTGGCTGCCAAGTGTCACAAGGATACACGCCGGTGGCATCTGATTGATCCTATTCTTCGTATCAATGACGAAGTTCTCGAATTCGCGGATAAATTTGTTTGGCCGAGAAGTTGTTTCAGAAAAGGTGATATTGAGGATGAATCATGGCACAGCAAGACGGCAGTGATCATCAGATACAACTCATCTGATGAAAAAAACATCACCTCCGTAAGCACCGGGCTACTACAAGGATGTCGAACTGGGGGTGTCCGTTTGCAGTATAGCCGGAGGGCAACATGCCCAATTACTGGTGCCTACGAAGCATTGCTTGCATTTGGAGGAAGGAGCGCACCAGTGATAACAAGGTTCGTTGTCGTCTGTATGACGGCTACCAGTGGATACTACTGATGAGGCAAGCGAGCAGTATGTTTCCTCGTGAATCCGATTCGCGTCTATTACGGAATTTGTGGAGTTGCTTTGTGGCATTCGTTTACATTTGAGTGATAGTCAATGAATATCCAGAAAAGTTCAGGAAGACGCGTTCAAGAAGAAGACGGATATTCAGTTTTTATAAACAAGATGCATTTGAGAGTGTTGTTTCCCTGTCCATAGTCTGTAACGGTTCAGTTAGTGTTTTGTGATAAACAACCCCGCAGCGAAGGCCTTCTTCCTTTCACCAGTACTACTGTACACGATGTATCACATCAGTTTGGCGGTGCCCTCAACGTGTCTCAGAATCAAGGCCCTCTCTTTCCGCACACTGGTTCTAAGCGGTAACGAAGTGGCCGGACACTGAAAAAACTGGCGAAAAAAGACTCATTCTGTTCGAACGGTTGGCTGAAGACCAAAGGGCTCAACGTCCCTCAAGATACCTTAGCTCTCTATAGAGTCTGTCGGAACTTCCTACATTTTACGAGAAGTATTAACGCAAACAGTGTATAGGGGCACCTTTAAAAAACCGAAGAGTTTGGAAGTAGATAACTTATTTTAGTCGGGAGGGATATCCAGGCCGGATTGGGATCAATGTGTGATAAACACTACCTCCAAATACGATTTCGTTATATACTTCTGGCCATTGGTCTTACATATCTACTGATTCAGTGGCATATGGAATATCTGATGTTTTCCACTGTCTCAATATAAGGGTGACTCAAAACGTGGGGAACGGATAGTGACGTCCGGAGTTGAAAATATTGGTCCACCTACTACTCGGTGCCTTAGATATTAAGAATGTTCGGTATCTTCACGTAGTAGGACTCACATTGATGATCCACCTCCTAAATGAGAATGGTTCAATGGGCGCAGTAGGTCACTGGGCCACCGCACGACTAGGCAACTCAGCCAAAGAATGAAGGAACACAATCCACCCAAGAAGCATCAGATTTCTGACAGCATTGTTACAGATTAGCATATGCGAGGCCACATCATCTACGCTATGGAGAAACCTTTCTGTGAAGACTCAAACCGATGCTCTGCTGAAGCACGTCACTTGGCACAATCACACAAACAGCTTACGTAGTCCACTAGTGGTATGCACTGTCGAGTCCGCAAGTGGACCGAATGCGAACTGGGGAATCGTTTGCTGATTGCTTCAGACAATCGATACAACTTCTGACGTAACAACTTAAACATACAGGCTTCAATCACAAGATGTTTGCTGAGGTACAGATAGAAAAAACCTGGAAGAATCTCACTTGCCTCTAAACAACCTGAGTCTTCTTCGTAAGCCTTCTCGTGATTACAGTGACCATGGTAAACACACATTGTTTGCAGTATGACCCTGCAGGTGTGAAGCGCGTAGCAAAAGAGGAAAGAATTTTGATCAGACTGTGGGTGTGTATGTTGATAGCACCCTCGAAGAACCAGTGTTAGGCGGAATTCCACACGGATCCCGCTTTACCGCTCGCACTCAGGTGCTGCTACGGCCGAGAAGTCCATCCCACGCAAGATTGGCCAAGAATTCGGGACGCTTGCCGGTCCGGCATCAAGACGAGATCCGATTGGTCAAAAGTCTGGACCCAACAGCCAATCATGACCCAGTAATGGCCAAATGCCGGTCGCCAATGGCGCATCCAGAACGCGTCAGAAATTCCAGAAAATTAGAACCGCCCACATTATATATACGGAGAGCTGTACAGCGGTTCCTGACTTCGTTTGGGGCAATAATATACCTTGTGTACCTTCGGTGGTTGTTTGTGATGTGAACGCTAGCTTGGGAGAGGAATACCGTTACTACAAATAGATGGGAGCAACATTCATCTAGCAAGTTTGTCCAACCGCGAAAAACACAATGCACAGAGCGAAAAACGCAAACACTCCGGCTGCAAAAGAGGAAAATTAAGGTTGCTTACCGGTCGGTCCGACCCGTCGAGGGTTTCCATGAGTGTGTGTGCCTTCAAACACTGAGAAAGAGAGACTTGTCTCGGTGGAATAGCTTCAGTGACAGGAGCCGGAACGCAAGGAACCGAAGGCGTGTAAAAGTTGCTATGATAGCGGGCTTTGCTATCCCCAACTGGGGAACGATAACCAAGGACGGACGGGATATGGGGATCGCCCAGAATATTGGCATTGATATTTCGTGAAGGCCAGGTGTTTCCTCCCTAAGTAAGGTAGAAATGGGTCACAACTAGTAAACATCATCATCATCATCAAAGACAGCAACATCAGTGTTGTCACTAATGCTTCACTGCCGTACAACCATAAAGTCCGTTTAGTTATATATATATATATATATAATTGTATTAAAGGCCCTACAGAGAAGAGAAGAGAAAAAGAGTGGGTGAGGGAGGGGACCTAATGCTGGACTATGTCAAGCATACTGAGGTGCCCACACCTCCAACCGCTCAATCAGACAATCTGGAAAGAAACTGACAGCACGAACGCCACTGACATTGATTAGCCGCCATTTCTTGCAACGTCTCCAGCCAAGCACAGATGGGGTCACGGGGACCCCATCCTGGAAGTCGCACAACACCAACAACACCCAAACTCCTCGTGATCTCTTTCACTAGTAAACAGCGTACACACTGTTCGTTACAAAAACGTACACACGCGCCGTGAGCCACCAGTATGCGCATGGAGGTTGTTGACTAATTTTGCAGTGACTTTAGCAAATCTCAAGCAACAAAAGGCAACCTCTTGGCAAAGCAGTCCGACTGTTGTAAACAGGATATTTATGCGACAGGTGGAAAAGTTTTCTACGTTCTTTGTAATGCACTACTCATGAAGTCGCTGAAAACTCCTCGATCTCAGCAACCTTATGAGTAGTGCGTTACGAAATATGTATGTATCGCGATATCTCGAATATCGTAGCGACTGAAACATGAGGCGGTCTGGTGCAGCACATTCAGTTGCCTGGAAACATCAAAACCGAGAGATTCAGCTGGGTTCCAAGTGAGTCTCTCGAAAAAACAAATTAGTTTGCAAATGAGTGTATGTTCACTAATTTTCCACGTTCTAAACAGCCGGAATCATTCATTCCGTCGAACTTGTCATAAACCAGCTGAAAACGCTCTGCGCGAGGATTAGGATTCACGATTCATGCACATACGGTGGACACACTTGCACAGCGCAGCTGGTTTCAAAAATGTTTTCGAGCCCCCCCTCAGAAAGCTGGTTCAAAGCCAGAGCGAGTAGAACGTAGCTACCGGTTGGTCGCGTCATCGGTGCATCAAACAAGCGCTGTTACAAGAGCTCACACAAAGACGCTTTGCGAGAATTAGAGCACAGTTCTGATATTACTGTTCTGAAACCCAACATAGGCTTTGGTGTTGCGATTGTGAACGAGACAAATCGTATTACTCAAATGGAGGATATTCAGTCGGACATTTTCAGGGAGATAAAAAAAAACTCGGTAATGTGGTATTGGGAAACAGATAGGAAGTGAGCTGGAGTATGGGAAATTGCGTTGTTTTATTTCAAACTAACTATACTAAACAACCACAAGCTTGAAAGTGTCTCCGTTCACCCCAACAAAACAACGATCGTTTAGCCGTAACACCCTTTCGGCGCCTAGCTGTCATGCCACGCGAGGGAAGCACGAGGGGTGAGATACCGCCAGGATGTCAAGCCTAGACCAGAGCAGTCAAGATACTGTAGGCTGAGTTCGCTTATTTCTCTCCAACTAAGCCAGGATAAAGTAAATCAGTGACCCCGAAACAGATTGGACTTGGTTAGTTGATCGCAGCCTCAAAGACAAACTTAGGTAATTTGATAGTCTGAATGCTTCGTTCTTTTGATGATCACCCGCTATTCACTAATATTCCGATTCACCCGGAGGAGGTACGAGGGCTGGGATACTGCCAGGTCGCCCAGGCCTAGACAGGGGAAGTCGAGTGGCAGAGGTGGATTTCGAACCACGGACCGTCTGGTCAGTAAATTCGCGCTCTAACCACTTGGGCCATCTCGCCCCCCACTTAGGTATGGTGTATCAGCAAACTGGAACAAGGACCTAATCGCAATCCACTTTCGGTGATCATCAAACGTCTAAAATCCACTGTAGTCACGTGAATGATAACTAGTTCTAAGCGAAATGCGCTCATTTACATATTAATTTAGGCTTGACGGGACACTCACCTGGAACGTTTACGATGTTCTTAGGCAACCGAAGGTGCTGAATAAGGCCGCCTCATGTTACAGCTGGAATAATATTCGAGATATCGCGATACATTGTATGAACGTAATGCATAAATCATGAACTGTCGGAAAGTTTCCAGCAAACTTATGAGTAGTGTATTTCTTCTATCATGTTATGTGCTCACGTGTGCTATTCGAGAAGAAGGATCACGGGACGACAGAGTGATTGGTCATTCAGCCTCCAGTAAGTGGAGGAGCTCCACTCAAGAACCGTGGAAGCATGAGACTGCTACGATAGAAGTCTCGCCTACTGGTTCGTTTGTTTTGTCATGCGGGGCTCCGACGTTACAGGAAACCGGTCTCCTATTGCTGTGCACGAGATGCTTTCGTCTCTGCTGTTCAACAACGGCCGATGCGATATTCACTCGGCGTAACCGCCTGTCTATCGTTTGAGACGGGACGAATCTCCCGGTGACCATCGGTTATTACCGTAGTTAAGGGAGAACATAAAGGGGTTGTCCCATGATTTTGTCTAAGATGTATGTGCCAAGCCGTAAAGCACAACCGAAGACGAAGGGGAGCTTTGTTGGGGATATATTTTCGTAGTCAACACACGGGCCATCATATCATATGTGGAACCCAGGCTTTCTGTGCGAAATTTCATGCCGAAGGCAACTCACAAAGTGTAGTGCTGACCATCCACTCAGCAAAAACCGTTTGTTGCACATGAACCAATTTGACGACCACTCATTCAACGGTATTCGAGCCCCTCCTCCATTGGGGGTTCGAAGAGGTAATCTACATATTGACGTTTGTATGGGCCGAACTCATATTAGCCCTTGTTTGATCAGTGTTATACACAACGAAGGAAACCACCTAACCGCAGATAACTCTGCGAAACATACACACACGAGCTGTCAGGGCGCACCCAGACAGAAGAAAAAGTACATTTGCAGAGAGTGACGCATCCCCAAGGTCACCATCGGTACGACACGTCCGGAAAGTAGGTGAGTTGGCGGCTCTCACCAAACACGGCTTAGCAACACACGACCAGCGTAGTGGGCCTGAGAATGTTCACGACCGGAACACCACCATTGGCTGTACGAAGCGAACAAGTGAACGACCATAGTTGGCCAATTAGTCACCCTATATATATTTATGTAGACGCTCTGTATGTTTTGTCCTGGCAATACAGCCGTGTCACCAGTTCTCTGTCTTCTCCCTATCGCGTAGTCTGGCAGGCTCAGTGAGGGCGTAACCCAATAGCTCGGCCACCACACAATACAAAACGAGCTTTATACGATGCGAGTTTAAATAGATGAAACATGTCACAGCTTAGACAACGGACTGACTATTTCCTTCAAACCCACTGCAATATACTGGCAGAATTGACGTCCTGTGTTATTAGTAACCATTGAAACAATAGATGTTGGGCTTATGTTGATTTATCGAGAACTTCTTTTAATCGTTCAGCTGTAACAGCCCTTCGGTGCCTAGCTGCTATGTAAAAAGAAGGAATCACGAGGTTGCCCAAGCCTAGACAGAGGAAGTCGAGAGACACAGGTCGGGTTCGAATCACGGACCTTCCGGTCCATAAGCTGACGCCTTAACCACTGACCTATGTCAAATTGTGTGCTAAGACGCACTGGGTCGAGATGGACCAGGTGGTTAGAGAGCGAATTTACTGACCAGAAGTTCTGCAATTCGAATCCGGCCTCTGCCTCTCGACTTCCTTCCTCTAGGCTTGGGCAACCCGGCAGTATCCCAACCCTCGTGCTTTCTTCCGGTGGCGAGGCAGTTAGGCACCGAAAGGGTGCTACAGCTAAACGACTCAACTTAGATTTTTACCAAGAAAGCTGATGCCTAAACCATGTAGAACGATAAGATAGCTAGTTCACTTCTTTCCTAATTTCCAATATGTGGGCTCAATGGAGGAACAAGAGACATCTTGGAAGCGGCAGTAAAATCCTACCTGTCTGGAAGAACCATCAAACAACGGATTACTGATTTCAGGGTTTGACCGTGGTGGAAGCCGTTTAGAAACACCGGGACTTGAGTTTGTATGGTACTTTGTATTCACGGTATTGTGAAGCGATCCACCGTATCGACGGCCGGAATCCCCGTCAAGAATGGGACTTGGTGACGTGCCATTGACCAACGTATCCGTCTGGTGAAAAAAAAACAGAGAAATGAGATACTCGTAAGCGTGTGAAAAGAGAGAAAATGCAGAAGTCAGAAGGCATTTTTGACGTTTAAAAATGAACAGGTGTTGGGAAAATAACTAATCAGAAACATGCGGTGAAGTCAATCCGTCCAACTTAACAACCTTTTGGGAGAATGTAGCAACAGACATACAGCCAAGCTGACAAACTTGGGTAGGTGCCATCTAAACGCCAACGCTAGAGTTTAACGAAGGAGCTCTCATCAAGTAGCTATCTCGATCTTCCGGTCCTGTGGACTACGGAGAACATAATTGGATAGACATGTGATCGAATCAGGTTTGAAAGCGAACAAGGTAGTAATCTAGTTACAGCCGAATCAAACTAAATAAATCGATCGGAGTGGTAAAGTTGGAAGAATGGGGGGTTACAAAGAGTAGGAAGCTTGGAGATGAGGTAGGCAAAAGCAGGTTTCAACGCATCCGGTTGCCCAATCATAAACAAAAGCGGTCGGAAAGTCAGGGAAGAGTTTGAATCGCGGACCTCATGAGTCGCTAACACTGAGATACTTAAGAAACAGTCCCACGGAGCTGAAAACCTTGAAGTGCTGGTCACCAAGTCGGCTCCAGGTCAGCGTGCCCAACTTGCTGAGTAACAAAGTTGAACACGTCGTAAGCCTACGTTCAGCGGGTGTTGATGCAATAAAACTTGTTCCACAGTGAACCAATGATGCATGAAAGTAGTACAAACAAGATGATAATATGGACATCCAATCTCATCAACCTACGGGAATCGGCACGCTCAGGTTCCACACGACTTCGTAGGACACAGTTTCACAACCGCAGGCCTGACATTCACGGTAGGTTTGTAGTTGACCCATGAAGATGTCTGTGGAGAGCAGTACAGGAAGAGAAAGAAGCATTTAGGGCAAACCCGTGAGTGGTAAACGCCTCGACAGAAATCGACACAAAACAAGACTACTTCACACCAACGCCTCGGTCACGTCCGTACCAGGGATCGATTTACTGACGAAAGACCCCGCGAGGCACCGTCGGTCAACAAGTGCTGCAGTGCCAATGAATATGAGGACGTTGGCGATCATATATCCTACAATGGTGTGGTAGGAGTCAACAAAATCAAATGGCGAAAAGGAAGACAGGGGTAACGCTTACCCTTGATTGGACTAGATTCTCTCATGTTTTCTTGATCCCAAGCACTACAAGGGGTAGAGAAAAGACATGACTAATTTGGTGAATATGTGTTCTGAAGGATGAAATCAGGATAGTGGATGGACTTGACGACACATGCTTTGAAATTGCCGGGGGAAAGTATCCAACTGTGGTGGTTCGCGGGTTGGTCACTATACTTACAGGTTCAGGTTATCCAAAAACACAGGGCTGACCGTAAAGCTATCACTGGAAAACCATACCAAGCAACTCCAACTGAGCGGTACTCAACAACCTGGTCACGCTGTTGGTCGTGGGCACTTCCTTGATGCCAAATTAGAGCAGAAGAAACCTTCTCGGCAGGAACAATGTTTGCTCATAAAACCACGTACTCCCCACGGATAAAACGTACACATACGCGTATCAAATGACTGAATCAATCGCACATCAGACGACAAGCAATAGTGACGCCATGTTCGCACAAGATGAGAGAACGGATCACATGATCTGACCCACCCAAGCACATGTCGTGAGCGAACATCGGCAAATGAGGTGACAAAACAAGCCACCAGGAAGAAAGAAATCCGTTTCTAAGCGACCGTGCGTTTCCTTTCTAGTCTTCGAATAAAGTCACCTAAAAACCATGGGATACGTCTCATCAAAGATGTGTCCACAAGACGGTCTAGAAGAAATCCAAAATCAAGTGGTGACTTCAACGTCCTAACAATTCTTTGTAATGTACTACTCATAAGGTTACTGAAAATCCCTCGACAGCCCACGACCGGTTTCGCCTTTCTCGGGGCTCATCAGGTAGGCGAAGTCCCCGGGTTTCCGTCAACCTCATGTTCTACTTCAAACCAAATTGCACCAAATTAGCGAATATACACT